ACAACTATCACTAAACAAAAAAAACACAGCTGTGGATCATTCAGTATTAGGAATTAAGTGGATGTAAACTTTTGAACGGGGTCATTTTTATAAATTCAACAATTATTTTCTCTTGTGGACTACATGTAAACATCTTTTATGTGAAATATCTTATTCAGGTCAGTACTAAATTAACAATAACATGCATTTTATGAGATCCCTCTTATTTTGGGAAAATAATTAACATTTTGCAGATTCTGAAAGGGGGATGTAAGCCTTTGACCTCAACTGTAATTATTAATATGAGTTAATAAAATAGTTTTCACTACAATGAATGAAATATCAGTTATCCGATCATCATATTATGTCAGAATGATGACATTGTTTTATGAATGTAGCCTAATGGTTTGATACAGATACGGTAAAGAAGGTCAATCCCTCTGAGGTCGGAGAGGGCAAAAATTTTACAATTTTAAGGACAAAAACATTTGATGTTTTTAAAATTACCAATGTGTACCTATATTTGTTGGAAGTGCCACCAGTCTAATTCCTCATTTACAGTAAAAGAGGACCCTGTCTTCCTCTAAGTGAGACAGACCGAGACATTCCATTACACCCACGTGAATGACTGGCCCTGAGTGCCGTCTACCTTCAGCCCAGACTATTGCTGAAAAACTCAAGCTTTCGGTCCAACCATCCTGCTACACTGATTCTCTGTTGTTTGCGTTCCAACCTCCTTTGTTTTATAACATTTTTTTTTCTTTTTTTTGGATGAAAGACAAAAACCAGCCAATATGTCCAGGCAATTTGGCAATAATTTACTGGTAAACTTTCCCTGATGCCTAGAAGTGATTTTACGAGGGGGAGAGAGAATGACAGAATGTCAGGGGTAGGATGGCATTCTATAATTAATTCTTTATGAAAGTTATAATTTCTATTATTACCGTCTCAACTGCAATCGTCAATCATCTTGTCAGTGAATAATAATGTATATGTTGGATCTGGATATTTTTTTTGTCTGATCTTGTGTGACAGTTTGATGAGGAGAAATTAAACTTTAGGTTGTTACAATGTCTGTGGTTGCACAGTAAGATATAGCATTATTCTGCTGTACGGAAATTTCCAGCCTGTCTGTAAAAATAGTTTTCTCTGACATGAGGTTATGATACAGCCTAAATGTAGGCAGAAATACCAATATAATTACACTCTTTAAAACAACATCATTATAAGCTACAGTTCAGCGCTTCTCTTTATAGGGATTTTAAAAAATGAAGGTGGGTTCAGACCGGTTTTAACTTGCGGTCTCTCCCTCTTTCACTTTCTTTCAGTACCACACAATAAGTGACCCAGAGAGCGTCTGTGGATGAAATGGTTACAGCTTTCCTCAATGAAAGGCAAGCCACTACTGAGGAGATGGCTTTAGTAAGCAATGCACTGGCTGCTTACTCCTTCATAGCAGGTAAAAACAAGTTTGGTACACTACACTAACAGCCCCAAAATTATACTCTGTACTAAAGCTGGGCGATTAATTGAATTTTATTTTCAATTACAATTTTACCTTCCAACAGTTGAACAAAAGATAATCTTGTGAATAATCATAAGATAACAGTGCCACATTCCTTTTAGCGATGATGGTTATATTTTGGTTATACGATGATGGTTATATCTACATTGGCACTCCTTGCTTTACATGGCAAAAAATTGTTACATTTATTTTATGTAATATTTTAGATGTTTGTTTTTTTATATAATCTAAACCATTTATATATATATTTTTTAATTTCTCAGTAGTTTTTACTGAAAACTACTAATCATTAATATATATATATTATATTTAAAGTACAAGGAAATCCACTGTGAAGAAGAGGGGAAAGAAACTTTCACTTTAATCGTGATCTCAATATTAAGTAAAATAATCATAATTTTTGCCAGAATTGAGCAGCCTTACTGTACATGCTTCTTGGTAAAACTTTGGGTTGCTCCACATGACTGATTTTTCTTCCTTTTTTCAGATATTTATACTATTTCAACAATAATAAAATGTATAGAGTATATTATATTAGCCTACACTCTTAAAAAGGATGTGTTAAAAACAACACAACCTGTGTTGTTTCTTAACACACCTCTGTGTTAAGGACAACACATTTTGTGTTACTTTTAACTCAACCATGTGTTATTCAACTTTCTACACCCTAATTTGTTATAGTTACACAATTTATACCAATTCTGTACTCAAAATGACACAAGAAGAATTTAGCCTAGCTATATGTGTGTACGTATGTATGGATGCATTCAGGTGGCATATCTATCCTGATAATAAAGGAAGTTGAAATGATTGAAACATTTAAAGGTTGAAATTCTTTGAAAAAGTTCTGCATAATCTATTATTATGCATGATTTCTTTCAAACGTACGGAAGTTCTAAGCGGCCATGCATTATTTTTTTTCCCCTTCTTGTTTTCTCGTTATAACGCCTTAATTTTCTCGTTATCTCGACAAAGGTTTTTTTTTTTTTTTACAATGATTGTTTGATCTACTGTTGTTATAGTAACGAACTCAACTTTGACACGCATCTGATGGACAGATAAACCATGCGCTCTTACTGTAGCCTAGCTCGTGGATATTTCAGCAAATTTTGCTTCGCCTAGTAATAACGTCTACAATACAAAAATAAAGGCTGATCAATCACGGTTGATATTTCCAGAGACAGTACGCTAAACATGTGTTTGTGTAATTAGCATGTTTAAATGGTCAAAGCAACACCGCAAACACAGGCGGAGCGCCTTCAGGATGCAGAACTATTCTAAAATCTTTTAGAGCTGCTTGGATTCAACTCACTTTCAATTTTCCTTTTATTTGAAAGAAAATTATATATAATTTTCTTTCAAATAAAAGGAAAATTGAAAGTGAGTTGAATCCAAGCAGCTCTAAAAGATTTTAGAATAGTTCTGCATCCTGAAGGCGCTCCGCCTGTGTTTGCGGTGTTGCTTTGACCATTTAAACATGCTAATTACACAAACACATGTTTAGCGTACTGTCTCTGGAGATATCAACCGTGATTGATCAGCCTTTATTTTTGTATTGTAGACGTTATTACTAGGCGAAGCAAAATTTGCTGAAATATCCACGAGCTAGGCTACAGTAAGAGCACATGGTTTATCTGTCCATCAGATGCGTGTCAAAGTTGAGTTCGTTACTATAACAACAGTAGATCAAACAATCATTGTAAAAAAAAAAAAAAACCTTTGTCGAGATAACGAGAAAATTAAGGCGTTATAACGAGAAAACGACTCTCGTTATGTCGAGATCACGAGAAAATTAAGTCGTTATAACGAGAAGACGGCTCTCGTTATGTCGAGATCACGAGAAAATTAAGTCGTTATAACGAGAAGACGGCTCTCGTTATGTCGAGATCACGAGAAAATTAAGTCGTTATAACGAGAAGACGGCTCTCGTTATGTCGAGATCACGAGAAAATTAAGTCGTTATAACGAGAAGACGGCTCTCGTTATGTCGAGATCACGAGAAAATTAAGTCGTTATAACGAGAAGACGGCTCTCGTTATGTCGAGATCACGAGAAAATTAAGTCGTTATAACGAGAAGACGGCTCTCGTTATGTCGAGATCACGAGAAAATTAAGTCGTTATAACGAGAAGACGGCTCTCGTTATGTCGAGATCACGAGAAAATTAAGTCGTTATAACGAGAAGACGGCTCTCGTTATGTCGAGATCACGAGAAAATTAAGTCGTTATAACGAGAAGACGGCTCTCGTTATGTCGAGATCACGAGAAAATTAAGTCGTTATAACGAGAAGACGGCTCTCGTTATGTCGAGATCACGAGAAAATTAAGTCGTTATAACGAGAAGACGGCTCTCGTTATGTCGAGATCACGAGAAAATTAAGTCGTTATAACGAGAAGACGGCTCTCGTTATGTCGAGATCACGAGAAAATTAAGTCGTTATAACGAGAAGACGGCTCTCGTTATGTCGAGATCACGAGAAAATTAAGTCGTTATAACGAGAAGACGGCTCTCGTTATGTCGAGATCACGAGAAAATTAAGTCGTTATAACGAGAAGACGGCTCTCGTTATGTCGAGATCACGAGAAAATTAAGTCGTTATAACGAGAAGACGGCTCTCGTTATGTCGAGATCACGAGAAAATTAAGTCGTTATAACGAGAAGACGGCTCTCGTTATGTCGAGATCACGAGAAAATTAAGTCGTTATAACGAGAAGACGGCTCTCGTTATGTCGATATAACGAGAAAATAAGTCGTTATAACGAGAAAACAAGAAGGAAATTTAGAAAAGAAAATTAACACGTTTGTTCTGTTGGCTACACTGTAAAAAATCAGAAGTTGAGCAAACTTCAAATTTTAAGGCAACCAGCTTCAGCAGATTTTTGAGTTTACTCAACTTTTGATTTTTTGCAGCGACTTCAACTATCAAGTTTTGTCAATTTAAATTTCTAAATTATAAAAACGCCATATTTCTAGTCAACTAAACACAAAATTGGAAGTTTAACTAAAAGTTCGCTTAACTTAATATACTATGTTGATTAAACATGCACAAAAGTTTGTACAACTAATTGACCTTCAAGTTGAGTAAACTCGAAAATCTACTGAAGCTGGTTGCCTTAAAATTTGAAGTTTGCTCAACTTCTGATTTTTTACAGTGTAGCCAACAGAACAAACGTGTTAATTAACAGATCCTGTTTGTATTAAAATGGCACGTTTGAAAGAAATCATGCATAATAAAAGATTATGCAGAACTATTTCAAAGAATTTCATCCTTTAAATGTTTCAATCATTTCAACTTCCTTTATTATCAGGATAGATATGCCACCTGAATGCTTCCATACATACGTAGCTAGGCTAAATTCTTCATTTAGAAATCAAAAAGATTACTAAAGAAGAGGTGTGTTCAAGTTATTAGGCTATAAACAAATGATTACAAACCAGGCCTACTTTGTATTCCGTCATAGACCGTAACAGGGGTCCAATGAAAACAGTTACTAACCTTCTGAACTGTTTCTGCAGATCACCCGGAACGGGCGGCACTGTATTTCGTGTGTGGAGTGTGTTTGGGACTGGTTCTCACTCTCATCGCGTTAGTGGTGCAGATCTCCTGTCGAACCGACTGCAAAACGCAACAAGCGCCCAAGAAAACAGGCAAGACTGCGGAGAGCACCAGCGACACGAGCGACAGCGACTCGGACTGGGACAATAACTCCGACCTGTCGGCACGCCGCCACCGGCGCTTTGAGCGGACGCTCGGTAACGTGTTCACCTCCGCGGAGGAGCTGGAGCGCGCGCAGCGATTAGAGGAACGCGAGCGGATTATCCGGGAGATCTGGATGAACGGACAGCCGGACATGCCGGCCACGCGCAGCCTCAACCGCTACTATTAAAGTCTCTGAAGCAACGAGACGGAAGGGTTGAGGAAATATTATACAGTAGCTATTAAACATTTTTGGGATACAGTAAGGGACTGGAATATGGGAAAATCCATCATGCTTAAAATACGTTTTGGGACATCTCTTCTGTTGGCACTGGCACTACTAGTGAAGCATTTGTGTTTTAGAAGGTGCATTCAGTACATTTTTTGTTTATGTTGCGCTGTCGTTTTGTACTTATACTGATGACACCTATACTGACACCTGGTGGCATGGATGAAAAAGCAACGCTTTTAGTTAGGGGTAAATGTATGTAAATTGAGACACTTTTTGCCATTGCAATGTCCTAATTAAATGATAACACAGTAGAAATGCTTTATTCGACGTGATTAATTTATTCCACGAGTGAGTAAGCAACTTCAACAAATGTACACTTGATCTTGCTCCATGAAAAATAAATCAGTTCTTATTAAGCGACTGATTTAACCGTTGACGTCATGATTTAAAATATATTTTAAACTGCTATTCATTTCTTTGTGTAGAACATCAGTGAGGGGAAATTACTGAGTTGCACCTTTAATGTAACGTGCTTTAATGAAGAATTCACCTTGACATGTAAAACAGGTGGAGAAAAAATAATATGCTTGAGCTTTAAATATGCTTGACTTGAAATACTGTATTTTTTAAATTAGAATTAATTTGATCTGAAATTAGGTTTGGCCACGTAGACAAGTCAGACACCTATTTTTATTGAGATGTCATTCTTTAGTTGACTTTACTTGGCTAATATCTTTTTTATTTAAGCAAAATGTCTTTCTGTTACAAACACTTTTATTATACTAAAGCTTTGTCTTGGAGCTCAGGGTTTTCATGACCTCTCTGAAGGATTTCTCTTCATTTGCCGACAAAACAAAATGATGGTCTGTGCCTTCATTTTAGAAAAAATCACTGTAAAAATTAAAAGATACTTGATGTGGAAAACCTATAGATGCTTTTTTAAAAAGTGGTTCTGCCAGTGTGGTGATCAGAGTATCTTTTCATTCTTACAGTGTATGCCTTCTTCAAGCAAGTATTAATTATGCATAGAAGACAATCACCTGTTTGTACTAGATTTTTCACAGGATAGTATCAATTTTCTACATGGTGCTATAGATAAAATCCATCCGTGCGTGAGCACTGTTCGGTTCAAATTTATGGTCAAGAAATGTCAGATATATCAAATATGTTCCTGTCCTTATTTCACCCTTTGGTGTTCATTGAACACATGCAGCATTTTAATAATGTAACCAAGAGGCTCACTTCCACTGTCTAATTCCATACTTGTTCAGTTTAAGTGTTTCAACAATATTTTAATTTTAATTAAAATATATGGATTATTAGAAAATGAATTTGCATTTGGTTGTCTTTTAACATGGTTGTTTTGAGTGTGTATGAAGTAATGTGCCAAAAGTTTGTCTGTGGATAAAGTCACTACATCTTCCCATAAAATAAAAACAAAGAAAAAAACCTTTTGTTTATGCCACTACTCCTGTAATTCTGAATGTCTTTGCACAAACCCTAATTGAATGCAAGAGTGCCCTCTGCTGTCTGATGAACAGCTATAATGGCAGAATCATAAACATTTCAAAGATTTTTATTCCCATCTGAGGACATGCAGACAAATAGATGGGCAGTATAAATAGAAAGAAAATGTATAAAGACATGTCTAAATTAGCATTGAATGGTACATGACCATGCTTTATATTAGTACAAATTAAAAAAAAAAAATAGTTTGAAGTGTTCTAAAAAGTGTAAATGCAGAATGTTTAGTACAAACATTTGTTAACTTATTTTGACAATGATTTATACAATTATTAAAAAAACTATTTTCTCCACAGACTAACCATAAATATAACAATTGTTATAAAATACTATATGTGTTCCCTTTGCATATACTTGATAAAATAAAATTTAGATCAAATTATACAAAATGTAAAAATACATGCAAATATATATATAAAACCACAGAAATGTATCGAAAAAAAAGAGCAAGTAAAATATGTCAATGTAACTTATAGTAAACGTACATAGTAAATGTAAACCAATTTGAATTCACTGAGCTTATAACTAATGGTACCAAACTGCAGATACAGATAACTGCCAGCTTATAGTGGTTAGAATATTTGCTAACAATAAACCAGAGTTTCTACAGGTTTAATGAAGGTAAATGAAAGACTTTTTAAAGACCACTTAAAGAAAATGTAAGGAATAAATTGAAAATTGGAGTTGTAATGAGTTGTATTAGCAACACTTCAACTGATCGTCATTATACTTAAAACCTAGCAAAATGAAAATATTTACCAGCTTTATCCCAAATAAATTCTAGTATTAAAAATGCACCAGTCTTCTCGCCCCTCCTAATCGAGGACTTGTACTCTGCATTGTTTTGAGGTCTAGTATTGGAGTTGAGGTATAACATGGGTTCCTGTTTAACAGCTGTTTGGCAGTCAGGTGCAGCGCAGCTCCATTCATAATGGGACTGATCACAGCCACACTCTCTCTATCTAACGTAGCATCACTGACACTATAAGAGGAGTGGGGTTCTGCACTGAAGTAAACAGTGCTACTGCAGTCTGCAGGGCAGGTGTTATACACTGCTCCGTTCTCTGGAGACTGTTGTCTCACTTCAGCAACAGAAAATCCTTCACGGTTTTCAACTGGACTACTTTTAGATTGTTCACCTGCTTCCATGTTTGGCTGGTTACAACCGTCCCCTCCAGAGTCTATGTCTGGTGCATCATCATTCTCCAGGATGACTGAAAGCCCTCTGTCTCCATACATGCAGTTGATCTTGTCTGTGTTTCCAGTTTTGAGAGCCAGATGTATTAACATATGATGATGGTGCCAGTCGCCCTCTAGAGGCTGAACAGAAGAACCTCCGGCCTGCTTGTCAGGAGCAAAACCAGTCACTGAGAAAGTGCCATGATTGTGTGTGGAGGATTCGAGTGTTGTGTCCTTGCAGTGCACATCGGTTGTTCTGTCAGTAGTTGCCAGGCTCATTTGGAGTCTGAGACTCTGGAGGATCTCCGTAGATTTTGGATGAAGAAATCGGTAGTAAAGAACAACAAAAATCACACCTAGAAAATAGAGAACAGAGCAAACTATATTTGTAATGTTACATTACACTACATTAGCTTATTCTAATTGTTCTTATTACAATATATAGCAACAATACATATATAGCAAATTGGTTCTCGGGTGATATTATGATTTTTTTTTTTTATTGGTCAGTATCTGTATCGGTTATTTAATTGTGCATGCTTATTTTCCATTCAGATTACCTTGCCGTCATCTAACAGCAATGTTTAAAAAGCAATAATAATTTAATAACACTGTTAAAGGGATAGTTCACCCAAAAATGAAAATTCTGTCATTAATTATTCACCCTAATGTCGTTCCAAACCCGTAAGACCTTCGTTCATCTTCAGAACACAAATGAAGATTTTTTTTATGAAATCCGAGAGCTTTCTGACCCTCCATAGACAGCAACGCAACTGGCAAGGCTCAGAAAGGTAGTAAGGACATTGTTAAAATGTATTGTTATGAAGCTACAAAAATACTTTTTGTGTGCAAGGAAACAAATATAACAAATTTATTCAACAATTTCTTCCATGTCAGTCTTCGAAGTGCGTTCACAAGAGTACCACGATGCATATGTGAGGTGCCGCTGACGCAGGAGCCGGTGTTCATAACATTACGGTTGAACCACTGATGTTACATGGACTACTTTAATGATGTCCTTACTAGAGCTGTCAAAATGACTGAAAAACTAAATTCGAATTTTGTACTTAAATATAATCAAAATTCGAATTATATTCAAATTTAAAATGCATAATTTCAGTCAGAGTAAAGAAAAGATATTGGCATCTCTCCTGAGGCCACAAGAAGTCGCATCGAGCAAAATATTACTAATGCACGTTTATTCAAAGCATGAGATAACATGACTATCTGTGGAAAAAAAGTGCATAATGTTTAAAATAATGTTTATATTCCAATCATAATTAATTAAGTTGCTTAAACAACTATAAACAAAACAGCATCATGCATGTATGCATAGTTTAATACAAAGGGCCGAAAGCCAATCACACAGAGTACATTTTTCATTTAAAAACACGAGTTGCAGTGGGATGGGGAAAAAACCCCGCCATAAAGTCTCGAGATATGTTTTTTCAAAGTTGAACTTGCATTAACTTTACATGGCTTTCTAAATATGCGGCTCTTTTGTGCGAGTGCAGCGGTGATAGATGTCCCTCTAGAAAACGCGTGAAATATACATTCTGTGTGAACGGCTTGGTTTCAGTTTTGACGTAAACAAGATCTTCTCTGCATTGATGTTCTCTTTTCCCGCAATATTTGTAATTAACAAGGCAGCAGCACTGCATCTAGTGGCTTCAACTGCATAGGCTAACAAAAACATTATAATGCAACGACACTTACATCGTCATCGCATCTCGTGCGCCACTGATAAGGCTGCCTCCTTAACGCACACTTAAAATTCGAATGGAACATTTTACATTCGAATGTGGATTTTTATTTTAAATTCGACGAATATTCGAAATTCGAATTGTTTTTGACAGCCCTAGTCCTTTCTACACTTTTGGACCTTGAACGTGGTAGTTCCATTGCTGTCTAGGGTCAGAAAGCT